TCCCCTATCCCTTTACGAACACCAACACGCCCTGCTAATGCCGCCTCAGGTGGCCAGCAGCAGCCTCTTTCTAGCTGCTACTGTCTTCACCTGCACAGAATGTGTGGTCATTATTGCTGCATCTAGAGTCTCGACTGAAAGTTTTGCCCCAATTGCAGTCCGCCCCTCCTACCTTGGTCATCAGCTAGACCGCTCTCCAGTCGCTGTGGCTGTACTGCTGTTGTTCTGGTCATTGTTGGTCGTATATCATCCGGAGGTACTCTGGCCTCGTCCGTAGGGACACGGCCACCATCTGTCCCCATACCTCCCTCATCATCTAGACCTCTTCAGTCGGTGCAGTTGTTTCCGTCTTCACCATTCGCCCCCATCCTCTGTCATCAGTAGGTACACGGCCACCATTCGCCCCCCCATCCTCTTCGGCCGAGTTGATCTGGTTTCAGACATCAGTAGGTACAGGGCCTCCCCACCCTCTGTCATCAACTGCGCCCTACAGACAATCCCTCCACTACAGCCCCCCCATTCAACCATCCCACCTGCAGCCCCTGCCATGCCAAAGCGAGCCCCAAAGATGACCATCATGGGGGATTCCATCCCTTCCTGCGTGAGCCAATCAGCCCTCCACTGCTGGGTCGCTTGAAGCACAAGGGATTAGAAAGGGGGGGAGCGGGGGGGAGGAGAGATTCCAATAGGTCGTGCGCTGGGCAATCATCCATTTAGTGCACAACAGGGGTGCTCCAATCCATCATGTGGGAATGGCAGGGGCCAGCGATCCAATCCGCCGCGAAGAGAGGGACGGGGCATGGCAATTCAAATATTGCGCGTTGCGCGCAGAGATGAAGGCGGCCTGTGGCAGGTTCTGAGGTTCTGTGAGGGTCATGGAAGAAGGAAAAGCAGGTGTGGGTGCGCTTCCTCAAAAGCTGGACCCACCAAGGACAGATGAAGCCATTTGGCAAGCATGCGTTTCTTGAAGGCACACTGTGATGTTCTCCTCCGAGGCTAATCATGCCTGCGGTGAAGTTGATGGATGGTGTCATTACTATCAGCTTTTCATGTTCGATCAGGTGTGACCATCCTTATCGGGTAGTGCAGTTAAATAGGGTACAACCATTACGATCGGGTTACGAAGTCGTGCCTCGTGTGTGATCATTGGGACCGGGTAAACTGCAGTTCGATCTGGTCTGAGTATTAAGATCGGGTGTGAGCATCAGGCGATCAGTGCGAGCGTTACGATTGGGGGGTTGTTAAATTAGATCATAATGGTCACACCCCCCATCGTAATCAATGCACACACCCCATCGTAATCAATGCACACCCCCCATCGTAATCAATGCACACCCCCCATCGTAATCAATGCACACCCCCCATCTGAGAGCTGTGCGATGGGGGGGTGCTGCATTGAAATTGGGTGTGCTGTCCAACGGCGTGCTGTCCTAGACAGCTGGTGGTGTGACAGTCGTCTGCGCGTGTTCTCGACTTGCACAATTTCCGGCTTCTTCATTGTGCTTCCCTGGTCGAAGGCAGGCTGTCATTCAAGAAGCGAGGTCCAGCGTCTCCATGAGGTGGTGAAGATACACATCCATGGACGCAGGCAGCAGAGGGGCACGCCAGTTCATCATCCACGGGGCAACGTGGCAGGGAAGAAGAAGCTGATGATGATGATGATGATGGCCCAAGAACGCGGGTGCTGTTCGCCAAAGGGATGCATGAGATGTCGCCAAAGAAACCCCAATTCAAGGCACAATGACAGGCACCATGCAGGACCGCCGGTCAAAGCTCCGCTGGTCAAAGCTCTAGGTTGACCAGGAGCAACGAACACAGAGACGGGGGAAGTGGAAACGCAGGTAAAGACCGGGGAGGTTGAGAGGATGGCGGATATCGACGAGGATCGGCTTCAGATGCGAGTCGCCCGGTTGCAGAGATGTGGAATCAAGCGATACTACTAGATGTTTTCACTAAACTTGCGGAGAAACTGTGTGTGCGTGAGTGTGTGTGGGAGAGCGAGAGAGAGGGGTCATTTCTAAACGACTGACACTAAACGAAGCAACACGAAATTGTTCGGAGAATGCATGTTATTCATGTTATTGATTTTTTGCCCTTTTTTTTTATACCCGAGTCCGGCGTTTTTTTTTTGTTTTTGTAATGCTCAGTCTGCACGCCTGCTTGAATAACGTGATGATTGGTTTGGCCTATCCTTTCTGGAAATGCCGGTCAGTACATATGCTGTGTCAGTGTGTTGTGTTCCTTTAACTTCATTATTTATTTGTGCCTTTGTGCTTGAGAAAAGAACAACAATGAACCCGTGAGTCATATGGAGAGGAAGATGCAGCATGGCATAATGGAGAAAGAAACCGGCTTTCGTTTTTTTGGGTGGGAGAGAGAGAGAGAGAGAGAGAGAGAGAGAGAGAGAGAGAGAGAGAGAGAGAGAGAGAGAGAGAGAGAGATCACACTCGTAATGTTAAAAGTTTTCAGTTCCCATCCGAAAAACCCAAACTGTGTGGTTCAAACGCTCTCTGAATTCCAAGTGCCCGATTCCCCATCGCCCTGACAGGAAGCGGCCGACTATGGCTTCCCTGGGCATGTCACCGCTCTGCTTGTTGATTTCGACCTGCATTGCGTTGGCAGTTGCCTGCTTGAACACACCTATATTGCCTGCTTGATCAACGTTGAAATAGACATAAACATCAGTACAATACTTGTGAAGCCCTGCAATTGCCATTATTTGATCGAGCAAGAGAACAATATCACGGTTTTATCACCCTCTTGCTGCTTGTAGAAAACTCGCCACATTCCTTTCAGCCAGCCGAAACAGCGCTCCGCGCACTTCCGGACAGATTAGTGTGTGTCATTGGAGCGCAAACAGTTCCCTTGCGGTTGGTCAGGGGATGGATGCAGCAGCCATGCGAGGCTCAACATCGATTGACCCTCGCCCCGCTGTCAAATCGCACTGCTTTGTTCGAGAAGAAACCTTCACTCATCGCCCGCTGTCGTAGAGGGAGGATGTGCGCAACACTCTCCTGCGGTCACACTCGCCGTGTGCATTCAATTGCTGTCGCATGCCCAAATACCAAACCTGTCCCCTACCCTGTCACAGGACTCCCTGCTGGCGAACCTGCTAAGGGAACATGCCCGGACACGAGCGGGCTCAATCGGCTGCCGCATGTGGGTGCACTGTTTTTCCAGATGTGGGCGAACATGACTCAACAATCCTTCTAACAGTGGTGAAGGAAAACGGGAGTAGGACCTGAATCGCCTATTGCCCCATAGGAAATGCGGATTGCGCATGTCCTCCATATCCTCCCCGTTCTCTGCTTCACCCAAACCGATCGAGGCACTCCACCTGACCTCACCTCGGACAGCGCACATACTCTTGTTCGGATGTGATGGAAGATGGGCACGACGCTCACTGAAGACAAACGATGGCTGACACCGCACTCAAGCTCCCTTGCTCTGGCAGGAGGGGCTTGGTGATTGGCTTCTGACAACGACCCATGACGGAGAACGAACTGCACGAGCAAGAGCAGAAAGCAACTGGATGTCCTCCTGCGCTGCATGGTGAGCCGGGTCATGGCTGCCTCCTCGGTAATCAAGTAGAGTCGCACTTACAAATCGCCAGCTAGGTCCGGCATACTCCGCTAACAGCTGTATAACAGCTGTATACTCGCAGCCCGCTTATCACCATGCCATGCCCACTCTACTCACAGATCCCCTCAACAACAACGCGACACCCAAGGAAGAGTATACCTTCGAGTTCGCCCGTGTACCTGTCTCTTATACACATCTAGATGTGTATAAGAGACAGGCTTATCACCATGCCATGCCCACTCTACTCACAGATCCCCTCAACAACAACGCGACACCCAAGGAAGAGTATACCTTCGAGTTCGCCCGTGTACATGCTCTGCGGGACAAAAACCACAGCGCATCTTTTCTTCGGGAATGACTTCGCTCTGCTGTGCATCCTGAATGCCCGGTTAGGTGCCGGAGCCAAGCACTATAAGTGGGTTTAGAAACTTGCCTGTTCACGACGTTGGCGCAAAAAGAACACATTCAATTTTATCGGACCCCCCAAAAAAGATAAAACAGAACGGATTTATGCAGGGCGCTATTTTCGCAAATGGCAGAGAATCTCACCTGTGCCCGTTGTGATCAGCTACACACGTGCGACTGGGCGGGCTAGTCAAACCGCAAACAGGCGATAGCAAACCCTGCAGAATTTGCGAGAACACAAGCACTGCGTGCATATGTCCTGAGTGCCTTCGCACAAGTGAGCGCGCACACATGTGTGCGTCCCATTCCATCTTACAATCCATACGCAACATCGGCACAATCGGAACATACATAAGACCTTTCGAGAAAAGTTTCGACCTATACCGACTCCAAAGCCTGCCACTGACAGAACCAAGGTCAGCTGCAGGACAGAACTTTCACCGCGAATAAAGATCAAATGCCGTCAATCAACTTTCTTTCACTCACTTGTTGCTCCCATGTCAGCCACGTGACAAGGTGATTGGCAGAGGTCAATCAAGTTGAATCGCCTCTTCTTCCGCAACGAATCCCAAATTCGTTCCCGGGACAAAACAATCCATATGTGATCATTCCTCGACTGCAATGGATGGAAAACATTACAAGTTGCTGCCCTGGATTCAGAGAAAATCTGCATGGCTCACCAGATTACGCTAACGACAGTGAAGTAAAAAAGAATGAAGACTGCAAAATAATTTAATAAACCCTCTCTGCTGAGCACCGCTTCCCCCGCAAGCAGAGGGCCAGAAATACCAAAAGCTTATAAGGAGGGATGCACCTGTTTCAGTCCTACCAACAAAATTTAAAGACCAGGATGAGAAAATGGTCTATTAAAATATTATTGTCCATTTCTAAAAACAACAAAACAAAAGACAAGGAAAACACATAAGGTCTACCTACCTCTACCTCATGCTCGCATGGAGGTATTTCACTTTACCTTGTTCAGTTCAGTTCAGTTCAGTTCAAATCCTCCCCCACTGGACCCCCAGTATTTACTTTGTGAAGCGAATACAAAATGTTAACCTGTCCTTCGGGACATCTGTTAAAATGGGAACGATACAGAGAAGATTAGCATGCCACCAAAAAAAAAAAAAAAAAAAAAAAGTTAACCTCATTACCTCGGTGAATTTAATTTTAATTTCGGACTAGGCTGCACCTACTGACATCAATGTTGCATTGCGGGCCTGGAGTCCTGCCAGGGGCTGAACGGGTCAAGTCACAGCCAAAATAAATCTTCGTAAAACAGAAGACATCGAGTACAGACTGGCAAAGCAGTATGCCGATTCAGATCCAAAATTTATTTTCAAAGAAGATGCGCAGAGCAGGTCGGTCTGCGAGGAGAATCAAGTCAGAACAACATGCAACTACAAAGCAATGAAAGCATAGATGCAGTAAAGGCTTTGAGATCCGTCTACTGGGGCTACTCCTGTACGGCAGGGTGTGAGAGTTCAATACAGCCAGACAACCAAAATCCATTATGACCTTCATAAAGACCAATGGATGCATGGAGAGAGAAGGGAGGGGAGGTGGCAGAGGAGAGGTGGGTGAATGCAAGAGTGAGGAGGGGGGGAAGGAGGAGGGCGAAAAGCAAACCGATGAAACGGGTGGAACGCACTTACACAACCAAACCAAAGACAAATTAGGAAAATAAATCGATTCCGTTACAATTCAAAAATGAATATAAGTACAGAAATGATGAGAAATCTCCTTCCGCTTATATATACACATGCCTGCCCACGTCTACTACGTCTAACGCAACTGTGACTGACATAAGCGGCATGGCTGAGAGAGGGAATGCCAACCAAAGCATATCAGCCATAAGAGCAAAACCACCATAGAAAATATCTCAACTTTATTATACCATTTCTAACCAATGTTGACGGCAAAGCCGTGTTGTTCTACACTGGATTGCAACAAGTCAGTTACAGTGCTGGCTATAGACCGGGGCAACTGGGCGCCAAAAATAGAATAAAATGAACAAGGCCAATAAATGGAGGGACTATTTCCTCACTCAATCAACACTACGGATTCGAAAAAAAAAAAAAAAAAAAAAAAAAAAAAAAAAAAAAAAAAAAAAAAAAAAAAAACATGTGGTACAGAAGGTTGCTCTGAAATGACTGCAAAGAACTTTAACATACCAAGTAATTGAAAACGTGTAGGAAAGCTCCACTGAGGACGATCCATTTGAATTTTGAATCCAAAGCAGTTTGAAGACGAACCAACCAAAGGTTCGAGACGCAGGCCGAATCACCCAGACTCTTCTTCCTTTGGACGAACAACGCAGCGCTCGTACAGTGCAAGTAGGTCCTTCTTTGTCGGCCGCCCTAGTTTGAGAAGCTCGTGGCCGAAATCGTTTCGAGTGATCTCCTGTTTCAGCTTTGTCATAGTCCACTTCTCATAGTCTTTTGCCTGCTGCGAAGCCACCACCACGCCATGCTCTGGCTGTGGCGTCGCCTCCACTAGCTCTCTTCCCGAGCTTCCCTCTGCCATATCGGCAGTGCTGTCTCGCTTTCTGATAGAAAACAGATCATCTCCGTTCTGTTGCGCCACCTGCTCCACTTCAATAACAGTCTCGTCGACGTCCATAGCCTCTGCGACCCTCCTGCGCTTCAACCTGCCAGGAGCGCCAACGGATTCTCCTACTGTGTATGCTTTTAACTGCCCGTCAAGCTCTTCTTCCCGTCTCCTGGCATCAAGGAGCTGCTGTTCCAGCCTCTGCATTTCCCTTTCCCTCATGCTAAGCTGTCTTGCCAAATCCTCCGCCCTCGTCATCTCTTTCTGTTTTGCTCCAGCGAGTTCTTCTTTGAGTGTGTGCAACTCCGCTTTAATTGCTTCAACCTCTCTCGTTTTTTCGAATGCCATTCGTGATGCTTCCTCTATCTGTCGATTAGCATGCAACATTGCATCCTCCAGCCTCTCGTTGGCGTTCCTCTTCTCTTCCTCAGTTTGGGCCAGCAAACGCCGCACTTTCTTCAATTCCATGTCGCTATTCTCCTTCAGCTTTTCAAACTTATCCCTCCAAGTGCTTGCCTGCTTGACAGCCTCTGCGTGCTTCGAATCCGCCTCCTGCACATGGACCCCCCTGGCACGCTCCATATCTTGAACCATGGCCTCGATACTATCCTTTTCTTTCTTTATCCGTTCAAGATCGCCCTTTGCTAAAACCATCTTCTCCTGCAGCCTCTGCAGCTCTTCCCTTACGCTCACTTCTCTTTTCTCGGCATTCACCCTTTCATGCTGCTCCATGGCTAGCAGCTCTTGGACTTCGCTGATGGCTTTCAGTTTGCCTTGTTCCTCGTCACACAGCAACTTCTCCTTCTCCTTCAGCAAAGACTCTGCTTTCTCCGCCCTTTTCCTTGCCTCGTCCAGCCTTAGCGTAGTCTGCTCTAAAGTCGACTTCACGGTGTCCCTCTCCTTCGCAGTGGCGGCAATTTGACTAGATTCAGACAGCACCTGCCTCTGTAGCTCCTGCACCTTCTTCTCCAGCTCATTTTCTATCTCCTTTTGCTTGTCAAGCTTCTGTCTCAAGCCTTCATGACTCTGTCTCAGGGAATCATAACCCTGCCTCAGCTGACTCAGCTCTGCCTCCCGTGCCTCGACCGAGCGCATCGCGTCTGATTTCCCTCCCCTCTCCCTTGCTAGCTTATCTTCAAGCGCCTTCACAGCCGACTGCTGCTTCGTTATGTTCTCTTGCAGTTCAGCTTCCCGTTCTGCAAAAGACGACCTGTTTGCTTCGAGCAATCTCTGAGCCTCGGCCAGTTCGGCTTTCAGTCGAGCTTCAACCACTCGGATTTCTTCTTTCTGCTTGTTTGCCGAGATCGCCATTGCCCGCGAGTCCTTCTCCAACTGAGTCATATGTTTGACTTGCTCCTCTGCAGCCTTTTGCGCTTTGGCAGCTACCTCAGCCTGTCCCACCGCCCTGTCCCTCTCCTTAACCGCAGCAGCTTCTGCCATCCTCGCGTCTCTCACCTCTCTTTCTGCATTTGCTGCACGAGAATGGGCCTGATCAGCTGCCTCATTAACTCGTTTTAGCTCCGCTTTGACAGTCTTCAGCTCCTGATCCAGAACAGCTAGTGAGATGTCCTTTTCCTGCAAAAAACAGTGTTAAAAAACTCAGCTAATATCACTCGAAACCATTCAAAAACTTAGCGAATATCACTCAAAACCATTCGAAAACTTAGCGAATATCACTCAACACCAGGAGCTGTTCCTAAGCGACCTCGCCCTCGAGTAACATCTTCCAACTCTGTTCAACCAGTGCACCTCAACTTTCTACCTCCCATCCATCCTGCTCCCTCGAGTACCCTTGGCATCACAATGCCATTCTGTCCATCTTGCCCCCCCCCCCCCAWAAAGGACTAGTCCTCTAGTTCATCACTGACACCCCACCTTTTCCGTTCGCAACACTTTTATTACTCTAACGAGAGATTGCAGGTAGTAGAGAGCATTGCAAAAAGACTAACGGGATGTGGAAATAAATGGAACAGAATCTGGTTGCCAGCGTGGAGTTTTCACATTGGCCTCTGTATCCATGAAGCGACATGATCAGGACAAAGAAAGACAGATTCCATTTACCTTAAGCTTCTCAGCAAGTTGGGACGTCTCTTTCGCAGATTTCTTCCCTCTTCCCTGAAGTTCCTTGATCTCCTTATCCTGCAGGAATTACAGAACAGGTCGAGCGTGCCACAGCAAAAGAGAGAGAAAATCTTGTCAACGCCCCCCCCGACCAGACCGAAATCACGACGGGCCTCCTCCATCATAGCAAGGTTAGGACGGTTTTCGCCACAAAGTATAGACCACGGATGATAAGTAGGTAACCAGTGTGTACGAACCAAGTAGGTATAAGGTGGGCAGATGCATGCGTACAGATACAATTCAACTCTGCAAAATGCGCAAGTGTGCATACTTGACAACACTGGCATTCGGATAGCGACTCTGTTTTTCTGTTCGGACTCTTCCCGGCAATGGTGAACTAAAGGATGTACTTCCAATCTAAACAGAGGTGTCCTCAGTCCAAGCTCACAGAAGTTTCCATGACCAAGCAGCTCTAGCATCTTCATCTTTCCATGGAAGGGTGTACGGCACTGTATGCCTACTATGCCACCACCAGAGAGGCCTCTTGTCTACACTTCAATCTTCAACCTGACAATGGGCTTCCTCTCTTTCCAACAAGATAGAATGTCCTTCAACAGCACATTGAAGACCAACACATTGAAGACCAACACATGGACAATAGCAACTGCTGCCAGTAGCTGGTGAAAGGAACCCAAACATCAGAGAAGGGGGAGGGAGCAAGGAGCAAAAGGCTTTAGACAAACAAGAAGGCAGCTAAGGAGCACGCAGATAGCAAGCGCTAAAGGCTAGAGAGAGCAGGCAGCTACGGGCTTTGAGGCGATGGATGTATCGATAGGCATATGGATATACCAATAATTCTATGGATAAAACCAATAGTCAGAGAGAAGAAGTGAGGAGGGAGACGGCCAATGAAACAAGTATCTAGAGGGTCCAACGAACATACCTTTCTTGGCCTTTCGACCAAGATCGAGTGAAGCATATTTTTCTGATCTGTTTAGGCAAAAAAAAAAGGTGCAATCAACATTTGTTAAACTTCCAGTACCCCATATAACTGGTTGATCAAATCCGTGTGCCGCACTACAGGAATGGAGTCCGCATATTCAGCCCCGTAACCCTGCCCAGCTCCAAATCAGCAGCCGGCTCTGCTTGCGTTACGTCCACCCCCAAAAATCTCACAGCTTCATTACAGGACCCACCCTTCTGAACCACCCTTTGCTGGCCTAGGTGCAGTGGTGCACTATTAGCCAACCACGAGACTCGGGATATGGAATATCGAGCGATTTTTTATGCGAGTTAGGCAGGTTAACACCTGAAAGGGCGCACGAAAGGTCCCGATTGGCACTTCCCGATCATCCCTAAATAATTCTGTGGAAGAAATTGATATTCCATGGTCAAGCTTTTGCAGCGCCTACATTTATAGTCTTCTGATAAATGACAACTTGCTTCATGGGGCATCCAACATCTGCAGAAAAGCATAGAAAACGTAGTGCACACCTATTGAATTGCTAGATTCCATCATCAAGAAGAATACGACTGCAAAAGGACAAAATCCCAGAAGCTCCATGACGTGGTGTCCCTTCCGTGCACAGTACTTTGTCCGTAAGCGTAAAAGTAGTCTAACCGATGTTCAAAAGCTGGGTCATCTCTCCTTTGGG